AAATATTATTTTAAAATTGAACATTAAAAATATTGAATTATTGCTAAAGAATAAAACATACAGAACTTTGGGGATATGGTTGTTGGTTTAGAGTATTTCTAGTTCAACAGAATTTTTATCACAAAGTGACTCTTCCATGCAATTTTAAATTTTCTTTGCATCACAAATCTACTTTTCTCTAGAAGTGCAGTTTCATATTACACCTAATCCAGTGTAACAGAAGACTGCTGCTGAAAGATGCAGTCCTGCCCTGCTCCCCCTCCTCAGAAAGGACATGTGGCCCCAGAGTGAGTCAATTCAGCATGCTTTTGGAGCAGGGAGGAGTGTATTTGGTGGCACATCAGTAAGTTGAATCATCTCAGAGAACTGAGCTGTCTGTTCCTTGATTATATTCAGGTGAATAAACAGACGCAAAACTAAACAGAAATAGAGTTGACATTTGACTGCAAATGTTCTCTGCCAGCAGAACAAGTCAGCCTGTATACAATATTATATGAAGATTTGCATCCATTGATCACTGATAAATTGTTATTTTGGTGGTGAACAGAGGTAATTTTCATATAGTGACTGTTTGGTGTATTTCAGTCAGTTCCTTTTGATGATAACTTACATCTGATGCTAACTTGAGCCTTTAGGAATATAGGACTGAAACTTCCTTGGTCATTAAGTGCAATTTCCTGTAGAAGAGGTTAAGTCATCCAGAAAGGTCACAAGACCATTCACTCCCTGCTCTCTGAACTCTACAAGCCTCAAAACATCCCCAAATACCTGAATATAGACTGGAGATTTTAGAGAAAAAAGCTCAAATGTGTCACTGTGACATAGGAAGTGAGCAGGAGAGGAGTGTTACTGCCAATATGCTACAAGGGATTCTGTAAGGTCTAGCTTATTCAGCATTAAGGACTGGATGCTCCATTTCAGGACTTGTTGCAAAGCATCTGGGTATAAAAGTGGTGGCTGCCAGTGTCAAAGCAGAATTCATGCATCTAATTCCACTTTCAAGTCCCATCTGGACACAACAGCAGCTACTCTAGAAGTTCCAATAAATGTTTGGACACAGCAGGAGGCAGCTGGCTGCCAGGACAGCATGCTGTGCTCTGCCACTCACCAGACAGAAGCAGCCAGTTGGATGGAATTGCTCTGGAGGCTGGATCTGGGTTCCACGGCCCACACTATTTAAGCACCCACTGGTAGTGTCTGGGTGACCTTAGGAAGTATAGTGTGTGTTTATAGAAAGCAGCAAATTAAAAACAAAATCCATTACACCCAGGGGTCTTTTCCTGTCGTACTCAGGGGCAGAGTCTTTCCTGACTCCAAATCTAATTATTGGTTTAGCCCTGAGCATGTGTGCAAGACATAAAAGCAGGCACCTGTATGACTCTGCTTAAGTTTCCCAATCTATAAAATGGGACTAGTGATATAGATTTTTTTCTTTTGAAACTCAGTGTTTTTCATGAGTTTTTGGCCCATTTATCAAGGCCTAGAGATTTAAATGTTGTCTTGAACAAGGTAAGTATTTGTAACAATTGGTAGATTTGATTCAAATTTCGGTTCATTTGTATGGCCTGGGGTCACTGTCTCATCAGTTGGTCATCTTGCACTTGAGCATAGCCAGATCTTTTAAGACTATGGCATGTTGTAATATGGAGGATTCCACCAGAGTAGAATTTTTGGGACCCTTGACACTGATGGGAATGCTCATGCCCTTGGTGAGTGTCCACATCCATTTCAGGCTTTCTAATTTTGTTCTTAAGCTGTGATATTGGAAGATCTTTCTTCTTCCTTTTCATGCTAGGTGTTCATTCCATAGGTAAACCATTCCCATGTAAGTGGGACACCTTAGTGTAAGTGGTAATTTTCAAAGGATATGGTTTTCTACTTTCCAGTATCTGCCAGATGAAGTTCCAGAAGACCCTCACATTGCAGTTCTGGCATCTCATTTGTGCTTTTATGGAGTGTGAGATGATGCTTTGATTCCAGACCTGTAAGAGGTTTCTGAGATGCTGCTGAACTTTTAGCATACTGTCTGCTTGGTTCACCCTAGCTCATCCTCATTTTGTAACAGCGGGTGGTGTTTAGCAGAAGTGTGATATTGCAATAGTCATGATTCTCTGACTCAACTGAATACTTCTACAGGCATAATGCATGCTTACTGGCCCAAAAGTGAGCTGTTTTCATAACTCCTTTTGCAGTAAAATTCAGTCTCTCTTGGGAGAGATTTCAGTGCTAGAAATATGAAGTATGGATGGAACATACAACTTCTGAGTCTAAGAAGGAATTTTTGCTGAGCGATAGAAAAAATCAGTAAGGAATTTTTAACCATATTACCAGAACTTTTTATTGCACAAGCTTTCATGTTTTTATAGAAAATGCTCAGTTCTGACTGTCTGCTCCATGTGGGAGCAGCTGCTCAGAAAGGGGAAGAAAAAAAACGTTCTTTAGCTCTAAGCGAGAAGGTAGAGTGGCAACCAAAACCAGCTGTAGAATGCATGATATTGATACCCATGACTTTTGGATGTTATGCGTTCTATACTATTTCGAAACAAGAGACTGTTGTGAAAAGGACAAAAGAGCCTACAGAAAAGCAGAGTCCCCACAGTCACTTTTTCCCTTGCATTAGCTGGCAGCATTTTGGAGAATCTAGCTAAAAATGCTAACTGCTGTCATTTGATTCCTACCTCTCCCCTACACTTTTCCACAAAACATTTCGTACAAATGCATACAAAGCAATTAAATAATTCTGTATTCAGTCAGTTCATTCACGTTAGTGAGTTGGACATAGTGACAGTACAGAGATAATTTTTTTAAAATGTGTCATTTTGTTATTAGCACAAGCTGAATATTGGCATCAATGCTGATTTTGTTAGATGGTGTCTTTGCTTTGCGCTGGTACGTTTGAGGTCTTCGTAAATAAGACCGAGCATTTTTCTTCTTTCTGGGTACTGCCAATGTAATCAGTAGTAGCAGAGAGTTCTTCAGTAATTGTGCTACCTAGGAAATGTCACTGTTCAATCTGTATCTTTGTTTGTATTAAAATCATTGTAAGCTAGTGCCTCAATAGCACAGATAATGCCAATTTTCCTATTAGTTCTCACTTAAAAATTTAAGGTTCTCCAGCAGTCTAGGACTCTGTTAACAGAAAATGCCAAACAGATTTCTCCATAGTTTGTATGGAGATCTGTTTGCAGGTCAATGGAGATGTGTTCAACAGGGAGTCACTGCTTGTCATAGGTGGTTAGGGGCAGCAGGGACATAACTGTCCTGTAAATAAATTGTACATATGTCTCCCTTTAGCCATGATACTGTGTTGCTTTATGTCCTTTGTAATATATTAAAACATAAAAGGACCAGTTATTTAGAGTTTTTATACAAATAAAACTATATAGTTTTAGTTTTCAAGCCTGTTTGGTCACTTCTGAGTAATACAAGGAGAAAGTAAATCAAGAATACCCAGATAGAACTGTATGGTGTACAGTGAAAAAACATGCTAAACTTTAATTCTGGTCTGGGATATACATGACCTTAGAAAACATTCATCATAAAATCAGTGAAATTCCACGTATAGAATGAGTAGTCTTACTAATCCCTTTTTCAGAATTCCAGCCTGCAGAGAAAATGCAAATAAAAAGTAACCATCATTTGTTCCTAGGGAACTATGTTAGGACTATGGCTTAATCTCCAATTTGTGCAAAAAATGTTTACTGGCAAGAATCCAATTTCTGTTCATGTCACAATGAAGGGCTATGACCATCCTGAAGTCACAAACCTGTTTTCAAAGGTAATTGTGAGTGCAAGAACTGTGATTCATTAACTTAAGCAAGCAGTTTAAGAGAGTTTTATTGTATTATTTTTGCCAATAGTCACCAAAAGTGGAAAACCCTATGATGGGTGTAAAACCAGTACTAGTTTAAAAATTACCAACTGATCATGTTTCCTTTCAACTGACTGGCTTAGTGGCGTTTTTGCTTACTATCTTAATTCAAACTGTAATCTCTTTTATAATACTGATGGGTTTGTTTATTCCATTAGGATTGTGGTTTTGTCCAGTATTAATCATAGCAACAGAATCTACTAAAATCAAAATTTTCAAAAATAACTGGAGTTAAGTGATGTATAAAAGTGACGAGTGATGTATGACAAGGCCCTGAGCTACCTGATCTAAAACTGAAGTTAGTGCTACTCTCAGCAGATGGTTCGATCAAATGATGCCCTGAGGTCCCTTCCAAGGTAAATTATACCTTGTCTCTTACATGATTTTGAGAACTTCGGGAAAGGAGTTTGTAATTTATATAATTCATTGATATCAATCAGTTGCCAACGGGAGCTGCTCCGGAGCTGGCCTGATCGGCAGCAGAGCAGCAGACCTCGGCGCAAAGGGGGTTTTCCTGAGGCAGGGAAATGTCAGGGCAGCAGAGAGACCCGCAGGGAGCTGGCAGCTCTCGCAGGAGACACTGACAAGGCTGCGCACTACCAGATCAACCCCAGCCACCCCTATGCTTATAGAAAGCGGCCTGGGGAATGCAAGTGACCAGGAGCGCTGCCAACAGAGCGGGCAAATGGAGCCTGGTGCTGCAGTTTGCACAGGAGGGCATGCAGGGAGGGTGCCTCTTTGGAGGAGGGGCATTACACTGCCCGAGTGGAGACTTAAGTACACATAACCCAGCAACCAGGCACAGTTCCATGACCATCTGCATAGGTCAAAGGCACTCATCCTACCTGATCCTCAAGGCAGAACGGTGGGCACTCGTCTGAGGCAAAGGCTGCAGCTCTGGCTGGGGGGTCTGCACCGTCTACCCCAGTGGTGGCCGATGCCTGCACTCAAATGGAGCTGCTGAAGGGAGAGGCCACAGTGCAGACCTCGGACTGCGGAAAGTGCCCAGACCTTTCTCCTGGGGCAGGGACAGGCAGCAGACCTGCCTGCAAAAGGTGTGCCCAGGTGGATGACATCCTGCAGCCAAAAACTCCCCCACCAGCACATGCAGAAGGGAGGGGGGCCAACAATGCACAAGAATGGAAACTTGCAACAGCAAGGACCACCTCCCCCGCAGCCTGAGGTGTCCTGGCAAAACCACTTCACCACTCTGCAGACTGAAGAGGAAAGGCCCATTACATCAGGAGAAACGCTGGAGCTGAGTAAGGCAGCCCAGTCTGCTCCCCATATAACAACCAGCGCAACTAAGAAACGGCAATGGGTGATAGTGGTAGGCAACTCTTCTGAGAGGTACGGAGGCACCCATTTGCCAACCTGACACACTCTCCAGAGGGGTGTGCTGCTTACTAGGGACTTGTATCAGGGACGTCACCAAGAGACTACCAAACCTTGTATAGTCCACTGACTGTTATCCGCTGCTGTTGTTTCACATGGGCACCAGTGATACAGCCAGGAGTAGGCTGAGGAGTATCAGGAAGGATTACAGAGCCCTGGGAGCAGTGGTGAGGGACTCTGGAGTGCAGGTAGATTTTCATCAGTCCTCCCAGTCAAAGGGAAGGGGTTTGAAAGGGTCAGTCCAATCTGTCAAATCAACGCGTGGTTACAGGACTGGTGCCACAGCCAGGGGGTCGGTTACTTAGACCATGGGAATCCCTTTGAAACCTGGGCTGATGGGGTCCATTCAACAGAGAAAGGGAAGAGCAGCTTTGGTCAGAGGCTTGCCAAGCTGGTGAAGAGAGCTTTAAACTAATGTTGCCAGTGAAAGGGAACTTCAATCCATCCCACTCTTACCAGTCAGACACAGGTCCCAGCAGTAGCTGCCTGGAGAAGGATCACAGGTCAGCAGGAGGGCACCTGAAGCGCAGCACCAAGGAACTCCAGCCAATAAGTCAGCTTCACTGGGGGCCCAACTTAAATGCCTTTATGCAATGCAGTGTGGGGAATAAACAAGAGGAGTCAGAGACATGTGCATGCCTGCAAGGCTATGAACTCATTGGCATCACTGAGACGTGGTGGGATGGTTCCTAGGGCTGCCGTGTTGGAACAGAAGGGTACAGGCTCTTTAGGAAGGACAGGCAGGGGACATGAGGAGGGGGTGTCATCCTCTATGTCAGTGACCAGCTGGAGTGTATGGAGCTCCTCCTGGGGATGGATAAGGAGCCAACTGAGAGCTTATGGATCAGGATTCAAAGCAGGGCAGGGACAGGTGATGTTACAGTGGGGGTCTGCTACAGGCCACCCGACCAGGAAGACCGAGGAGATGAGGCCCTCTGTAGGCAGATGGGAACAGCCGCATGTTTACAAGCCCTGGTCCTCATGGGGGACTTCAACCACCCCAATATCTGTTGGCGGGACAAAACAGCAGGGCATAAGCAATCCAGGAGATTCTTGGAATGCATTGATGATAACTTCCTTCTCCAAGTGAGAGAGGAGGCCACAAGGAGAGGTGCTATGCTGGACCTTGTTCTCACCAACAAAGAGGGGCTGGTGGGGGATGTGAAGCTCAAGGGCAGCCTTGGCTGCAGTGACTGTGAAATGGTGGAGTTCAAGATCCTTAGGAGGGCACACAGCAAGCTCACTGCCCTGGACTTTGGGAGAGCAGACTTTGACCTCTGTAGGGATCTGCTTGGTAGAGTGCCATGGGATAAAGCCCTGGAGGGAAGAGGGGCCCAAGAAAGCTGGTTAATATTCAAGGATCGCCTCCTCCAAGCTCAGGAGCGATGCATCCCAACAAAGAGGAAGTCAGGCCAAACCACCAGGAGGCCTGCGTGGATGAATGAGGAGCTCCTGGACAAACTAAAGCACAAAAAGGAAGCCTAGAGAGGGCAGAAGCAAGGACAGGTAGCCTGGGAGGAATACAGAGAAATTGTCCGAGCAGCCAGGGATCAGGTTAGGAAAGCTAAAGCCCTGGCAGATTTAAATCTGGCCAGGGACATCAAGGGCAACAGGAAAAGCTTCTGTAGGTACATTGGTGATAAAAGAAAGCCTAGGGAAAATGTGGGCCCTCTTTGGAAGGAATTGGGAACCTTGGTTAGCGGGGATATGGAGAAGGCTGAGGTACTGCAATGAATTTTTTGCCTCAGTCTTCGCCAGCAAGTGCTCCAGCCACACCATCCAAGTCGCAGAAGGCAAAGGCAGGGACAAGGAAAATGAAGAACCGCCCACTGCAGGAGAAGATCAGGTTCGAGACCATCTAAGGAACCTGAAGGTGCACAAGTTCATAGGACCTGATGAGGTTCATCCACGGGTCCTGAAGGAACTGGCGAATGAAGTTGCTAAGCCACTATCCATCATATTTGAGAAGTTGTGACAGTCCGGTGAAGTTCCCACTGACTGGAAAAGGAGAAACAACCCTCATTTTGAAAAAGGGTAAAAAGAAAGACCTGGGGAACTACAGGCCAGTCAGTCCCACCTCTGTGCCCCGCAAGATCATGAAGCAGATCCTCCTGGAAACTACGCTAACAAGTGTGGAAAATAAGGATGTGATAGGTGACAGCCAACATGGCTTCACTAAGGGCAAATCATCCCTGACAAATTTGGTGGCCTTCTGCGATGGGGTTACTGCATTGATGGATAAGGGAAGAGCAACTGCTGTCATCTACCTGGACTTAAGCAAAGCATTTGACACTGTCCTGTACAACATCCTTGTCTCTAAATTGGAGAGACGTGGATTTGATGGATGGACCACTCGGTAGATAAAGAATTGGCTGGATGGTCACACTCGAAGAGTTGAGGTCAATGGCTCAATGTTCAAGTGGAGACCAGTGACGAGTGGTGTGCCTCAGGTATCAGTACTGGGACCAGTGCTGTTTAACATCTTTGTTCGTGACATGGACAAGACCCAGCAATGCATGCTTGTGGCTCAGAAAGCCAACTGTATCCCGGGATCCATGAAGAGAAGTGTGGCCAGCAAGTTGAGAGAGGGGATTCTGCTCCTCCGCTCCACTCTGGTGAGAGCCCACCCGGAGTCCTGTGTCCAGCTCTGGAGCCCTCAGCACAGGAAAGACGTGGACCTGTTGGATTCAGAGGGCTGGAACCCCTCTCCTATGAGAGAGTTGGGGCTGTTCAGCCTGGAGGAGAGAAGGCTCTGGGGAGACCTTATCACAGCCTGTCAGCACCTGAAGGGGCCTACAAGAAAGCTGGAGAGGTACTCTTTACAAGGGCACACAGTGATAGCACAAGGGGTAATGGCTTCAAGCTGAGAGAGGGTAGCTTTAGATTAAATGTAAGGAAGAAATTCTTTGTTATGATGGTGGTGAGGCTGTGGCACAGGTTGCCCAGAGAAGCTGTGGGTGGCCCCTCCCCGGCGGTGGTCAAGGCCC